ATTCCAACCAAAATCCAGCCAAGTGCATTAACAAATATAAAAAAATATTCCATAAAACACAAGAATTAGAGAAAGCTGAATATAGGCTTTACTTAAAATCAAGAAATGATATATTTACTCTTATAAAAGGAAGTATCTAGACCAAGAAAAAACATAGAAATAGACCCAATTACAGGCAATAAAATATTTGGTGATAAAGCAGGCATCACCAAGATGAGGGTAAAAGGAAGTATTATTTTGTAAATGATGCTAACTTATTACCCAACTAGAGGAGCAGTGCACAAAATTTATGCACGGGATGTGGGAGTGGGGAGGAGGAAGAGGGCCTCAGCCCAGCCTGCACCCTCTCCAATCTGGGACCCCTTGGGGGATGTTTGACTGCCGGTTTAGGATCTGCTGGTTTAGGACTGTCGATCCCTAGGATCAGGCCTAAACCAGTAGTCAGACATCCCTCTCACAATCCTGGACTGCTGGCTCCTAATTGCTTACCTGCCTGCCTGCCCAGCTGCCCTCAACTGGCCTGATCACCCCCAACTGTTCCTCCCTGCCAGCATGGTTGCTCTTAATTGCACCCCCCCCCCCCCGCCAGCCTGGTTATCCCTTACTGCCCCCTCTACCGTCCTAGTTGCCCCCAACTGCTCCCCTCTGCTGGTCTGGTCACCCCCAACTGCCCCCCACTGGCCTAGTCACCCCTCACTGCCCTAATCGCCCCCAACCCACCCCCATACCCCCGCTGGCCTAGTCGACCCTAACTGCTTCCCACCCCCCACCCCCGCCCCCGCCGGCCTGGCTGTCTCTTACTGACCCCCCTGTTGGCCCAGCTGCCCCCAATGTCCCCCTCTGCCAACTTGGTCGCCCCTAACTGCCCCCCCCCGCCAACCTGGACACCCCCACTGCCCCCACTCCCCGCCTGCCTGGTCGCCCCATGCAGCCTGCTGGTCATTTGGTTCTCTCTCACTAACCCCCAGCCTGGACATAGGCAGCCATCTTGTGAGGGCGTGAGGGTCAATTTGTATATTATCTTTTTATTATATACTGTATTTTCCGGCGTATAAGACGACCCCCTAATTTTACAGTTAAAACATAGGTTTAGGCCTATATTCACTGTATAAGACTACCCCCCACTTCCAAGACAACACCAGTTCTTTTTTTAATAGACTGCCTCTCTGACTCTGAGCAGGCTTTGTACTAGAACACAGTGTAGCTTCGGGTACAGAACATGTACACTGTGTAGTGTAGCTTCGGGTACAGAACATGTACACTGTGTTCTAATAAAAAGCCTGCTCAGACTGGCCAGAGTCAGAGAGGCGGTGTATTAAAAAAAAGAACTGGTGTTGCCTCGGAAGTGGGGTGTAGTCTTATAAGGCGAATATAGGCCTAAACCTATGTTTTAACTGTAAAATTAGGGGGTCGTCTTATACGCCCAGTCGTCTTATACGCCGGAAAATACGGTAGGAGGTTAAGAAGGGGGAGCAGGGAGGACCAACTGTGCTCTATATTTTAAGCCAAAGTAAATTTTTTAAAAAGAAAGTGAACTAAGTAGTGATCAGGTTTTTGAAAAAAATATATTTTTTAATTTGAGAAAGACAGGAAGGGAGAGGAAAACATCAGTGAGAGAGAAACATAAACACTTTGCTTCCTCCTGCAAAGCCCTCTGCTGGGGGATTGAGACAGCAATCTGGGCATGTGCCTTGACCAGGAATCCAACCAGTGATCTCATGGTGCATATGTCAATGCTCAACCACTGAGCAACACTAGCCCAGCAAAAAAACATTTTTTAAATCAAGAAAGAAAAAAATCCACAACTCAGCCAGTATGGCTCAGCAGTTGAGCAAGGACCTATTAACCAGGGGGTCACAATTTAAGTCCCAGTTAGGGCACATGCCTGATTGCAGGCTCTATCCCCAAAGTGGGACGTGTAAGAGGCAGACAATCAATGATTCTCTCTTATCATTGTTGTTTCTATCTCTCCTTTCCCCTCCTCTCTGAAATCAATAAAAATATATTAAAAAAAAAAAAAAAAGAAGAAAACAAACCACAGCGTTAGCTCAGTTGGTTGACCATTATCTTGAGCACTGAAAGGTAGCAGGTTGGATTCATGGTTAGGGCACATGCCCAGGTTGAGGGTTCAGTCTCTAGTTGGGGTGCATATGGAAAGCAACCTATTGATGTTTCACTCTCTCTCTCTCAAATAAAGAAAACATATTTTAAAAAGAAAAAGAACCACAGATTTAATTACATGAAAATATTTAACTGCTATATAAAAAAATGATAATAAAACAGCCAGGAAAACAATAAACAGAAATATAACAAAGGATTACTGCCCACACCACCTAACAGGAAGGCAAAGCTTTATAAACTGACAAATCAACACCAAGACTGAGATCAACAAGTAAAGGACATGGGTAACTGTGATGAAATAGTTAAAACAACAAAAAGAGAAAGCAGTTAACATTAAGTGCTGAGGTGATAAGTAAAATCTCCCTAATTTCCTTATTTTAAGGTGCAAATTTATCAAATATTAGATAAATAGTATTAAAGGAATGGCAATGGTAAAGTCCCATGAAACCAGAGCTATCAACATTCTTGAGGGCAGGAATGAGCTACCCGCCCTCTAAGCACATCCCCAGCACCCAGGCATGATGCATAATATATGGTAGATGCTCCAAATATTTGTAGACCAATGCCCTGCTAGTGTCAAGAAACAAATGTCACAGGCTATTTCTAAGACAACTTTTAAAAAATCACTGAGGCAATGGAAAGACATGCATTTTGTAAATGCTTTTGGTTTGTTGAACTAGAACATCTGTTTTCTACTACAACAGTCTAAACACTTCTTCAATTAAGCTCTATAGCCAAATGTTAAGTGTGTCAAATGTTCCTCAGGCCTTGTTTTGTGTATATAATCTAAACACAAAACTAACCCAGAATTTACACTTCAAGGTGTACCATTAAAGAAGTGTGCATATGTTTCTCTTATTGAACAATTGCTATTAATAAATAAGTTAAAATTATTTGACTTCAAAGAGAAAGAAAAGAGGGAAAAAGCCTAGATGCCCAAAGCATGATTTACTTTAGAGTCCTTCATAGTGCACGTATTATGAAAAATCATTCCAAATTTGTCTTTTTCTTCTAAAAATGGTTTACTAAGCTAAATGGCAGGTTATCCACCAAAAATGAGGTGAAAATGATTAATTAGGATGAATCTCAGTTCTTGCAAAGTTCATATGCAACAGGATTTTACAAGACTGAACTAGAATCACATGGTAGGAAAGAAATGTAATAAAGCTAAGCCAGACTAGATATATTCTGAGAAGAAATTTCATGTATGTAATCATTTGTCAAAATTAATGAATCGCCCAAAGAGCTTCATTTTGTACCTCCCTTTGCTTAAAAACAAAAAAGAAAAAAACAGGGGTGAAAGGCTACTGAAAGGTTTTTTCAAAAAGAAGCAATATTTTGGAAACCTCTGAATGAAAAGTAATATAAGATGAATCATTAGCACATTATATAAACTAACTAGGTAACTAAATATATTTCCACAATCTTAAATATCCTTTGACTTGAATGCTACCATCACTTCAGTGAATGTCTCTAGGTTTTGCTTTCATATGTAATCTTCAGTTGAGATATTCTTCAAAGGGCTTTACTTTTCTAAGAAGATTTTTAAAAATCTGCTTCTTAAGTTTAAACTGGTAGTTATTTTGTTTTCAAAATTCAAACTAAGTCTTCTTTGTCATCTGAAGCTGTGCATCTCAAAGTCTTTAAAATGTGTCAGCATGATCTCCTCTTCCAATGTCCCCTGATCAAAAACATGAATACAGATTCTCTATTCATAAAACTTTAAGATAATGTATATATTAAAATGGCCAGTCATGTATTAATAGTATACTATTATTATTAAAAAATGATAATAAAGCAATCTAAGACCCAGTGGTAGAGGATAGTTACATATTTTTGGTCAAGCTACTGGGGAAAAGATAGTACATGGCCGTTAATCTGATCACTCACTTGGCAAATAGTGACTGAGCTCCTGCTATGTACCAAACACTGGAGAAAGTATGCTACACTGAAGAGACATGGTCCTACCTCAAAGTCTCACGTCTGGGGAAGAAGACAGACATTAAACAAATCATCTCATAAATACCAACCATGTTAAGTACTATGAAAGAAAACAATAGGATACCCAACTGAGATTAGAGGGTGCAGAAATGATATTTGAGGGGATTCTGAGGTATGAATAGGGGTTTGACAAATGGGGAGCTGAGCCCTAGGGATCAGGGAAGGAGGGGCCACAGTATAGGCAAAAAGACTAGTACATACAAAGGCCCAAATGTGAGGGAAAAGGGACTAGAATGAATACTAGTTAAGTGATCATTGGTCTAGTCCAGGGAAGAGCAAGTGTGCTAACAAAGGAGATGAAGACGAGAGAGCAGATGAAAATGTATTCCACAGAGAATGGACATGATGCTACAACTGATATAAAGAAAGAACATGGAACAACATGAAAAAAAGGCCAGGATACAATGTTTAATTTAAAATGTAGGACCTCATATAATACATGATTTAGCTAAAGTGAAAAAAATACATTTGAGAATTGTTAAACTGACAGTAGGCTTATAGTGTAATGTAACATGACTTTTATACTTATAAACACTTCTTAAAGGAAATGTATTCCTAAATTATGGTACATCAACTGACAATATAGCCATTACACATTTGGACCAGAACTTATAACTATGAACACACACAAAAAATTATGATATAATAAATTTTAAAGTACAAGACCTATAATTGCAGACAGTATGATCAAGTTACATTTTAAAAGGCTAAAAAGTAAGAGACTACAGAACATAAAAGAATACAATTATGTAATACAAATACAGAGAAAAAAAATCAAGAAAATGAAAGTAATTATAAAGATAACACATGCAAAAGCAGCTATCAATATACATACATTTTTGTTAAAGTTCTAATGTCTTACTATAAATGATTTTTACCTTTCTTTAATGAATGTAATGCTGAAGTGAAGAAGGTCACATAACCAGGAGGCTGGGGTGAACCACTGAACTCAAAGTACCCAAGTACTCCAGGCTGCAAGAATAAGAGCAGAATTAAGTGACTGAGATATCACTAATCATTGTGCAATGGGGACATTTTAAAATAAGAAAGACATGCCATTATAAAATGACAATTGTCATTTGCTGCATTTCATTTTTTTAAAAAGCCTAACCACATGAAAAACGTTGGGATTTAGGGTGGACCTTTCCTTCCATTTAGGCAACAGGGTTAAGAGATACAATTGCAGCAGCTTTTATAGGGGGCGTTAATTCAGAGCTGAAACTTCCTTCCCTCTTCTTAAGTAGGTCTTTCCATTCTCTGTTGACAGTTTTCCTATGTCCCTGGTTCAAAATCTCACCATCAATTACAGGTACGGTTCTTACTTACTTCTGTTTGGCAACTCCAGACAAGCTATCAATTTCCTCATAATCTTTCTTAGATTTATTTCTCCCTCAAATTGCTTTCTTGAATCCCAACACCCCTTCACACTTACTAGAAATCAGATTAAATCTGATTTGCTCCACTTGTATTCCAGGTAGTTCTTCTAGGGGCTCTTTCCTCCTCCACACCCAGAACCCTCTGCAAAGGACCCATCTCATACTCTCTTGCACCTCTATCCCCCCCAAACTTATTTCTCTCTCTTCATTCTACTTCTCTAAGCTTAGGACAGAATTCCCCTCCAGTCTGCTAAACCAATAAATTATCTTCTCCAGATACGTCCTGCCTTCCTGTTCAGAATAATTTCTTCCATCTATGAAGGCCTTGTGGCACTCATTTTCTCTGGTTTTGTTCCGTAATGATTGTATCTGTCTAAAAAGCCAAACTGAGATCCCCAAGGAAAGAGTGCTGAGCTTGGAGTCAGAAGATTTAAGCTCAAGTCCAAAAGCTAAATGATCTTGGGTGAACCCTTCAAAGAGAAACCTCAGTTTCCTTATATAGCAAATGGGTCAATTTATCATAGTGTTATGGAGAAGAATGAGCTTGATGAACTATACAACACTAGGCAAATGTAAAGAATTCTCTCTAGCCCTAAAGCATGCAACATCATGCTCTTAATAAATAATGGTGGAGCTGATTTGATCATTGGGGCAAAATCAGACCCAAAAGATAAGGTAGGAATTTCATCTGCTGGTAAAATTTAAAATCAATAATTTGTATAAAAAAAGAAAATTTCTGATCTGTAGTGGAACATACTATCTTTCAAATTCAAATCACTTGTTTACTCTCATAAAATTCAATTTATTTATTGATTTATTTATTTACTTATTTATTTATTTAAAAATATATTTTTATTTATTTCAGAGAGGAAAGAAAAGGGAGAGAGAGAAACATCAATGATGAGAGAGAATGATTTTAATCAGCTGCCTCCTGCATGCTCCACACTGGGGATTGAGCCCACAATCTGGGCATGTGTCCTGATCCAGAATCAAACTGTGACCTTCTGTTTCAACTACTGAACCATGCCAGCCAGGCAAGATTCAATTTTAAATAAATCACTTTGTTTTTATTCTGACAGAAATTGAGATAGTCAGAATGTTGAATCCTAATACTATCTAAGAAAATCCAGCAAATAACCAACTTCTAAAACAACTGAGAACATTAGAAAGAAAAGTACAGAAAACAAATTTTCTTTTGCTAAACTCTTTCAAAATCTTTTTTTATTTTTAAATCCTCGCCCAAGAATATGTTTAGAGAGAAAGGGAGAGAAAGAGAAAGAACAATGATATGAAAAAGAAACATCAATCAATTACCTCCCATATGCACCCTGCCAAGGTATTTGAAAAAACCCACAACCTCTTGGTGTATAGGACGATGTTCCAACAAACTGAGCCACCTGGTCAGGGCTCCTCCAAAATCTTTTTAACAAGCCAATCCAGAATTGGCTGAAAGAAGAACTGCATACTGTTTGGGTTTCAGAACATGCTATGACGATTTAATAAACCTTACTACCAAGAACAAAAGGAAGACAAAATCTTCAGACATTCTAGTCACCCAGTTAATGTTGTATGCAAGATCACAAAAATGAAAACTAGTGGAAATAAAATGGACTCATTTAAGTTTCTTTATATTATAACCAATCTCCCAAACTGAAACCAAATGACATAAATTAATTTAAATACCAATAAATGTTTCTTTGCTAAAAATTAAACCAGAGGAATTTCACATCATGTTATCACCAATGACTTCACAGAAGTGAACATAAGGTCCATAAACACATTTATATCTACATGAATGTATGCAATTACATATATGTTTATATACAGAAATGCACACGTGTACAGACATTGATGGAAGCAAAAAAGTTTTTAAACCTTAGTCTTCAAGGGAAACTGCAATAAACATTTAAAAATGTACAAAGGTTGGAGCATTTGCAGGGGTCCTTTGTGGACATTTCTACAGGTTTATTCTTGTTGAGGGCATCACTGCTGCAATTTTCCAAGGGGCTACAGAGCTTGGACAAAGGAGCCTATCTTCAGAAGAACTGGTACTGAACTTTTCAAGTACTTTGACCAAAGAGATTTCATAAACAATACAAAGCAAATAATATCATATGCAAAATTATTTTCTTTTCATTGCCAAAAACATAGATAAGACTCAACAACTGTATGAGATTATTTAAAATTATATACCAGCTACAAAAACAAGAAAAAGACAAAATATATTTTAAGTATTATTTTTAAAATATTCACCATACTGTGACAATCTATATTAAGTTTTGAAAATTGGCCTGTTTGAGAATGTAACTTAAAATTAATATTTCAAAATAATAAATTTATCTGTTTATTTCTATTACAAATTAACAATGAAAAGTTACTAAACTGGCTCTGGTTTTGCTTAAGATCAAAACAAATTTTGCAACCATTTCCCCAAAGTTTCAGCGTCGCCTAACAGAACCTGTATTTGAAAAATGATTACATATTTCAGAGTTCCTTTCACAGTTCTTTTTTAAATCTGGAAAAAGTAGAGTTTGGGGAATAAAATTCATGCATATTCACATATGTAGATTTTTTAGGTCAAGATCCCTTGTTTGCTCATCTGCAAATAAACCAGGGGCTGGTTCAAAGCACAACTGTAACCCTGCCTAATATATTTTGAGGCTTTTAGCATTTAAGCCAGTCTGACACTGGGTTATATAGTTGGGGTGCAAGCCCTGCTGGTACAGAAGTTGACCCTCCTCACTCTGCTGCTTACCATAAGTAAGATCATCTGACCCCAGATTCCATCTGCAGTGTTTTATTAATCCACTCCCAGATGCTTATAGCTACCAGGTAAACAATCATGGGAACTCAACTGCAAACAGGACACTACTCAACCCCCTACACCTTGTTTATCTGTTTTCCTTTGTTATATATCTCCACTTTAAAACTCCATAAAACAGAGGCTCTCTCTTGTTCATCACCATGTTTCTAGCACAGAGCAGTCACAAAATAAACATTTGTTAATGAATGGATTGGGGATAAAAATGTGAATAAGACAATACTCCTTTAACAAGTTTACAATTTAGCAAAGAACATAACATAATAAATGCCAGATTATGATTTGACCTAGTTTCTGTTTTTAATTCCATTCCCTAATGAACAGTATATTCAGTACCTGCTAGAATGAGGTTAAATATAATAGATTACTTATAGGAGGCCAACAAATCCTCATGAAGACTAAATATTTATTTCCTAAGTGAATACTATGTGCAGTTTGGCATCAATTTCAGCAAATGACATACACAATCTCTAGTGGTGTGTTTTTATCAATACAATTAAAGTATTTCTGCACTAATGTTAACTCACACCTAGAAAACTTAAAACTATTTAGTCCATAAAACTATAAATTGACAGAAACAGTATTTATTTGCTCAACATTCAGGCTATTTTTACTAACAAATAACAGTATAACAGCAGGCAGCAGACATTCTACTAGATGTTTCTCCAAAATACTCAGGTTTTCTGTCACCTGGCAATTTACTCAACACCATGCTTCCATCTCCAAAAGATTGCCAAGTTTTTTCCCATTCTGTTTAAATGTAAAACAATTTGGTTTACCATACTTATAAGAATAAATGAGTAGATGCATGCAAAATCACTACTCTTAAATGGATAAATTATAAATTCATGAAGAGATTTAGAAAATATTTTGGCCGCATATGTAACATAAGGATTAAATAATATTGTTGGCATTTAGTGGATAGAATAAAAGATACAAATCAGTTGATTCTCATAAAAAATAAAAAAGAGCCCACTGGCATGGTTCAGTGGTTGAACGTCAACCTAGGAGGTCACAGTTTGATTCCTGGTCAGGGCATATGCCAGGGTTGCAGGCTCAATCCCCAGTGTGGAGTGTGTAGGTGGTAGCCAATTGATGGTTCTCTCTCATCATTGATGTTTCTATCTTTCTCCCTCTCCCTTCCTCTCTGAAAACAATAAAAATATATTTATAAATAAAAAAAAGAAAGAAGCATTATTGATGTAGAAGCTACTGATACCTTAACCAATTGATGCCTAAAAAATACCAAAATTATGCCCTGACCCAGTGGCTCAGATTGTTGGAGCCACCAACCCAATATGCCAAGATTGTAGGTTTGATCCCCCTCATGGACACATACTAGAATCAATCAATGAATGCAAAAATAGCCCAAACTGTTCACAAATATATGGATTTGAGACAAATGAACAAATTGATGTTTCTCTCTCTCAATTCCTCTCTAAAATCAATAAATTTAAAAAATACCAAAATTAGAAGAGCCATAAGACTAGTGACTTTGAGAAAGTGACATTATCATCACTCAGTCCTATCTCCTTTCCAATCAACTTAATGTCCACCAAAATAAAAATGACACTGGGCTATGCTGTCCACAAGTAATAAATCACATTTTCCTGTCTGTATCTTAAATAGGCAAGAAGGACCTCCAGAAAGAAAGATTCTACATTTAGAATAAATGAAGAAAATAAAATTTCTTAACATGGTTTACAATGAGATGACTTAAAGCTCTTGAGCTCCCTCTATAGTATGCATTGACAAGTTCACTTAAGTTTTTTGCT